AACGCAACTGCAACGAAACTGCAACTGCTAGTTACTTTTGAGTTGCATCTAAGTTTCTGCCATAGCGTCCGTTGAGAGATCACACATGACGCGACCAGTTTGAAACTTTCAGTTTCAGTTTCATTCATCAGAATCATTAAAAAGTTGCAGTTTCGTTGCAGTTGCGTTTCACCGTCTGTTCTGGGCCTTAGGCTAAAAATTCTAGTCCTAGGCATCTAATAAGTATTTTCTATCTATCCAGGCTGTACTGACGACCGTGAGTGCGTCTCCGCCAGACAGTTTGAAGCTGGTGTGGTTGTCCAACTCTTCGCTCACGTGCAACGATGGTTCTCCTGCTGGGTATGTACTAATATCCTAATAATATTTATTATGATCTAGGTCTTTGAAACGATGTGAATCTTTCCTATCTTCAAAGCAAGGGGATTTTTTGCTAATAATGCTTAGATCTTTTTTACCTATTTATAATGACTATTATGATTAATTTTTAAATTTTCATGAGTTTGTACTTTCTGTAATTCAATAGCTATTTACTTAATAAACATTTCAAGGTGTAGAGTTCTTTTTTTTATAAATATTAATAGAATAGCTCTACCTCCAGATCTGTTAATATCTAATTTTACATGTACTTGTTAGTGCCTCTACAAATAAAATATTGCAAAATGTGTCATCCTTAAATTCTCCATACAAAACGGTAATTGCATAAGCATGCATGCAGTATAGTAAATAACACTTAAAACTCTCGAATATTGCATATTACAATAATGTATGCTAAGTTAAACCCAATACTAACGTTGTTTAATCTAACTTTAGGTCTTCAGCGGCAAGAAGTAAATAACATTATGAGCACATAATATTAAGTTGATTTAAAGCATTTTATGATATTCTCTCACGTCTTTAATAAGTACCTACTTAATTACCTACCATAATTAATTACTTCTTCGTACTCCAATTTCTTGCGGTAGCCGCGATTGTTATCTAAATAAGCGTTGATAACTTTAATTTATGTAGGAAAGAGGAACTCATGATTTAGGTACAAAGTCACACACGGGGTATGAATATTCTAAATATATCAACTAATGTTCTAGAAATGTTAATAATTTAAATATTTACCACCACTACTCATTTGTACACTGTATCATAGGTACAAAAGGAAAACTTTTACAATAAGCTTCAAGTTTTCTTCATAACCAAATCGAAAGTTTAAGACATTAATTGGAATATCGCTTGTTTTAAAGCACAGCATTGTTTTGCAAATTAATATATCTCTGCGGTCAATAGATGCGATTTTTCAACCAAAATGCAGTACCTATATTCTATCGACTCCACTTTGAAGAATTTGTACAAACTGCACATGTGCGCTTGAATAAGTGCAATTTGATAACAAAACTAAGTAGTTTCGATCTGGTTGATTGTACAAGGATTTAAGGTAGCTGCTAGAAGTCTATGTTAAAGGATAAGTATACATACGTAGCAGTTCTCGATGTAGAGTCGTTTGCGCAAACTTTCACGTTATCAAGCTGACGGAGACGCGTCTTTCCATTCTATACATAGCCAGAACGCAAGGGTGTGAAACTAATCGAGTATAGTTTGGATATGACTTTTTTTACTAAGCTCCTCCAAACTATACACGACCAGTACGCATACGCTGCGTACTGCTCGCGTATACTTTGTAGTGACTTAGGTCAATTATCTTCCTCCAAAATATACATCGCCAGTACGCATACGGACTAATCATGTATGTATTGTAATAAGTGCGTGATTACAATTTATACGCGAGTAGTTGCATGCTAGTCATTTTGACTTATTGACCTCTCTTTCTATTACATACTAGCTTTCCGCCCGCGGCTTCGCTCGCGTGGAATTTTGTCTGTTACAGAAAAACAATATCGCGCGCGTATTTGCTCACCGTTTAGACCTACCCTGGACTACGACAAACATTTTAAAACCAAAATCAGCTCAATCGGCCCAGCCGTTCTCGAGTTTTAATCAGACTAACGAACATCAATTCATTTTTATTTATATAGATAGATTAATTCATATCTGCGTGTCTACTTTAAACATTGAATCATCTTACGACACGTGTCATTGTTTTGATAAAGGATTTTTTGGTGTTTCTTATTCTGCCATAGAAAAGATATTTGTTTTGGGGCTGATATTTCACCAATTGTAGGTATGGAAATATGTCAAAATGATTTTGTTCTTGAGATAAAAGTTAATAAATAAAATAAATAATAAATAAATATCCTTAGACATTTTACACTGCGCTTCTAGTCCCAAACTAAGCAAAGCTTGTACTATGGGTACTAGACAACGGATATAAACATAATTAAACACTTTTTTTTGTAAATACATACTTATTATACATAGAAAACACCCAGTCCAATACAAACAAATATGTTCATGCACACAAATGTTTGTACTGTGCGGGAATCGAACCCGCTACCACTTCGAACCACTACACCAAACGGCCGACAATACAAACCTAGCATTTAAAGTCTCGCATAATATTGTATTTAATGCGCGTTAAACTTTCTTCTCTCACTCTCTCTCATATTAATTAAATTGTTATTTAATTTGAAATCTACCTAATCAATTTAATTTCAAAAACCACTTACAATAGTTTTAAAAATCTAGATTTATTATAGATTCAGTAAAATAATAATATTTTATGTAATAATATCAAATAAATGTAATTTTAAATATAGTTCCATATTTTACTGAATTTTACTAAATCAATATCAACTAAACACACTCTAGTCAAGTGTAAGTGGTGTAGTAGAAACTAATCGAGTATAGTTTGGAGATTACTTTTTTTACTAAGCTCCTCCAAACTATACACGATCAGTACGCAAAATTCGTGTATAGTTTGGAGTCACAGATTTACAAACGGGCACTCCGAAATGTACACGAGCAGTTTCCTATGGGTGCGTTCTGGCCATGTATAGAACGGAAAGACGCGACGGAGACGTAGTAGTAGCTTTTAGAATTGAAAACCAATGCAATTTACATAATTATTTATGCGGCGGTGTCTTAACAGCGTCGTTAACATAACATAGAACCAATGTTTATTTCAATAACAAGTCGCAAAAGCTAAAGTAACTTCGCATATTAATAAACGTTTTGTGTAATTGCACAGCGGGTAGTGCTGTTTTCTTACTTTGTACGAACCAGTTAACCTTTGTACAGGTGACTTAAATGTAAAGGTGTTATTATTTTAACAATTTTGACAAGTAACATTTTTAAAAACAGTTGATGCAAACAATAATTATAAAATAAATTCTAAACCCAAGCTCACGCGCACTTACATTATAATTGTATGTTTCTTCACAGTAAACAAGCATTTTGTTACGTAGTTGTAAGTTGTAACAAGCATTTGCGTTCTTGAAGGATTTCAATTGATGTTATTATTACTAACCACGATATGTAACTACATTCAATGTTCCTGTGGCTCATAACAAGCAAAATATCAAAGATAATATAAGTTTGTAAGTATTTTAGAAAAGAAATAGAAAAGAAAACGACAACCAAAGCGATCTTTTGATAATTTTTGTTCTCTTATGTGCATACCTTCATATTGTAGGTATTTTCCTTCTTGATTGGCAAGAATAGTAAAGTACTTTACGTTGAAAATAGGTATGTATGTGACTTTGTCTTTCCTCGGTGTTGCAGCTACTACATCCGACGCGGCAGCGACAGCTCGCACTGGGTGGTGTACCTGGAGGGCGGCGGCTACTGCTGGGACGCGGCGTCGTGCGGCGCGCGCTGGCGGCGCCGGCCCGCGCTCATGTCGTCGGCGCGCTGGCCCCGCGCCCGCCGCGCGCCCGCGCTGCTCTCCGCCGACCCCGCCGCCAACCCGCTCTGGCACGCCTCCTCCCACGTGCTGCTGCCCTACTGCTCCAGCGACATGTGGGCCGGCACCCGCGCGCGCCGCCACAACGCCTCCTTCGCCTTCGCCGGCGCGCTCATCGTGCGCACCGTGCTCGTCGACCTGCTCCGCCTCGGGCTCTCCGGCCGCCTGCTGCTCGTCGGCTCCAGCGCCGGCGGCGCCGGGGTCATGCTGCACGCCGACTCCGCCCGCCGCGCCCTGCGCGCCCACGGCGTCCGCGTCGCGGTGCTCTCCGACTCCGGCTGGTTCCTGGACCGACCCGCCCGGGCGCGGCGCGTCCCCGCCGAGACCGTCGCGAAGCTCGGCCACTCCCTGTGGCGCGGCTCCCCCCCTATGTCGTGCGCCCGGAAGCACTCCTTGAAGCCCTGGCTGTGCTACTTCGGCTATAGACTGTATCCTTACATTCGCACGCCGTTGTTCGTGTTCCAATACCTGTTCGACTCGGCGCAGCTGGCCGCCGAGGGAGTTCGCGCGCCGCGCACGAGGGCCCAGTGGGATGCGGTGCACCAGACCGGTGCGGCGATTCGCGCGAGTCTGAAAGGTGTCCGGGCCACCTTCGCCCCGGCGTGTCTCGCTCACGGGGCGCTGGCGAGGCCCGAGTGGCTCGCGATCAACGTCTCGGGCGTGTCTCTGCCGCACGCCATCAAATGCTGGGAGCGGCGTCTGGGCGGCGGGGGCAGGTTCCCGAGGGGAGGCTGCGCGCCGCGCCGCCTGATCGAGCGGTGCTCGTGGCCGCAGTGCAACGGCTCGTGCCCGCGCCTGCGCGACCCGAAGACGGGCGAGGAGGTGGCGCTGGCGGCGCTGCTGCAGAGCTTCGGGCTGGACGTGAGCGGCGCGGCGGCCGCCATGGGGCTGGACGCGCGCGCGCTGTCGCGCATGAGCCGCGCCGAGCTCCTGCCGCTGCTCGCTCCGCACACGTGATATTTTAAGATTAACTCTTTTTGTGCCTTCGGGCACGGTGAATCTACCTCGTTTGTTGCGCAAGTACAATTTATTGTAATATTAGATATTATTTATTGTTTACCAATACTGCTGTATCTTATTCATGATAAGTAAAAAGGTGTCACATAATCGATTGTTTTCATTCCGTCGCATCAAATAAAAAAACCTAGTAAGTTTGGCACAACAAATAAGTATATTTTATATACAAAACGCCCGTCCCTTGGAGGTACGATGGACTAGTTCACGTGTTCTATAAATAAAAGTACCTAACGATATCTCACTATTGTCCGCCGCGTTATTGGAATGTGGCAGTGTGTCACGGCGGCGGATGTCTCCGATCAGGAAGCGGCTTGATGAGTCGGTCGGTGAGTATGGCTCGGAGCGACTGGAGGCGCGGCAGCCAGGGCGAGCGGCGCGCGGCCCCGGCGACGCGAGCGCGGGTCCGCACGTGAAGGCCGCCGGTGCGCGGGCGCACGCGGTGACGTCATAAGCGGCCGGCGCGCTCCACGGTCAGCGCGATGGAGACGTCGACGACGTCGTTGCCGAGGAAGAAGTCGCTGGAGATGATGTTGGCGTGCTGCCGCCAGCGCGAGGCGAGGCGCGCGGTGACGTTGCGGTTGACGGCGTCGGCGTTGTCGCGCAGGGAGCCACGCAGGAACAGGATGTCGAGCACCGTGGGCGTGGTCTGCGCCATGGCCGAGTGCATGGGCGAGCGCGCGTGCGGCTGCGGCGACACCGTGATCGCCTGGTCTAAGTACTGGAACAGCTCCACGGGGCTGTTTGTGTTCGCCCACAGGTGAGGCAGAACCGGCCACAGCCAGTTGTTATCTGGAAACAGAAGAAGATAATACATGTATTATCCGCTTTTGTATTTCGAAGAATCATAGACGGAATGGCGTAAGTATTCTTGTAAACAAAGATTGTAGAGGTTATCATACGTACGACCAAGCATAATGATTATTAAAATAAATAAAACGTATTTGATTGATTTGCCAGACAAACGATAAACTTTTGAATCATCTTTTGCGTGATGCAATACTACTCGTATAACAACGATTAAACGCGGATATTGTGAGTAATAAAAATATGCATTTAACTTCTATAAGGTTATTAAACTCTTGTATGTAAATCTTTCTCGAGTACAATTACAATTAGCCACATCACCGGACCCTAAATAAAAATGGGACCTTAACGTTAGCTGCTCTCCTATTTTAACATTCACCAGAAGATTAACGATTTTTAGGTCTTCTTACCTGCAACGATAGCGTTGTCGACATAACTAAAGACTAGTCTTTTCTCGGCGTCTATCAGCGACTGCAGAGTGGGTCCCCTGGTCCCGGCCCCCGTGCCGAAGACCCTGGCGTCTGCCATGTGGGGTCCCAGTTCCCGGCGCACCAGGTCTAAGAGACCGTTGTGGACCGCCCGGTTGGGGGTCCCGTCTTGCTGGTAGAAGCCGACAGGGAAGTGATGAGCGTCGAGGAAAATCACCTGGAAATAGAGATTGAAGAAGTTTAGACCTGGACTTCACAATCATTAACTTTCTACAGTCATCATCGATCATAAGCTTTAAAGCTCTTTACAGTCTAAATTAAGTGTCTTGGGAAGTTTATAAGGAATATCAGTTGGAGACCCAGTATAACACTTACTAGGGACTATGTGGAAATAAGTTTCGTTGGTAAACTTACCATAAGTGGGTAGCTCTTTAATAAATAAATTGTAGTCTCTAACATTTCTATTAGCTAAAGCTTTATTGTTAATTAACTAAATAACGAAATGAATATTTACCTCTTTAGTACTGTCTAAGAAAGTCCTTATCTCTCGCAATAGAGGTAGAAGTGGACGGACTCGGATTAAGTTGTGGTTCAACCAATACCTGAAAACGATAAAGAATCATTTTAAAGACAAAACAATCAATTCAATTACGAATGGGAAATAACTATATCGTAAAAATAAACAATATTTATCTACCTAACTGTAATAACAATAACAATAACAATTATAAAAACAATCACAAACTGTAATTTATATAAGTGATGTTCGTTTAAAATTGTACGACAAAACGATACACGTTAAATTGAGATGCATTGTTTAACAACACCAGTTACTTCTCGGTCATTAGTTAGTTAGTGAGCGGTATTAGTTTAGTCAAATGAACCGTATCTTAAAGTTACGCGCTGTCTGTTGCCAGTGGATTGTGTACAAACTTGCATAACAACTGAATGCATATGCATGCATATTATGCATATTGACCGAGGACGCAAAGAAGTTTAAGTTTCTATGGCAAACAAAACTTCACAAGATTAAGTTTAAGGTAGTCTCTAGATAACTTTTTTCGAGGTGATATACGATGATAATGTGTAGGGAACCTAGCAGATAATGTCTTTATCCGCACTATTGAAGAGATTCACTCAAAATTTATCTAAATTTATTATGTTCGCTATGGCTGAATTGTACCACTTTACTTTAGCTAGCTACGTTAATCACAACTGGTGTTTTTTGTATGGAGTTTGTCAGACTTTAACGTTTGTTAAAGTTAAAGTAAGATGGTGCAACCCAGCTTATGTTTACCCAATGCATGCAGAAAGGTGCGAACTCAGCCATGCCTATAATTATGTTATGTGGTATAATAATAACCAAATCTATCTTATGCCATATCCAAATTAGCTGGGACGGTAATTCCAGTTGCAATCACAACTGAGACAAAAAACGATGTCATAACAACAATTAACTCTGAACAAACACTAGAGCGGCCAACTATGACCATCGAGCTGTTGACCAGGCTCTATATTTTCTTTGTTTGTAAAGTGACATTGCGTTACCGTGACAGTAGGAATAATCATTTATAAACAAAAAAAGAGAGACAAACGTAGTACTTATTCGTATCTATGGAGAGACATACTGTCACGGTGACAAAAGTCACCCGTGCGTGCGCGCATTAAACGCCCAAGTTAGCTCGACAGCGAAACTTACACGCCACATCCACTGCAACGAGTTTTATTATTAGTTACTGTAAAAACAATGAGTTACGTCGTAACAACCATAGTTATATTTTACCGTAACTATCACTATGACCAACATATTAAAATTGTGTACTGATATTCGGTAATCAACACTAATTGAGCATTTGAAACGTTAATAACTTTCATACATATTGTGTTATGTAAATACAATAGTTATTGTTAATTTGATATACCAACTCAAGTACAGTTACGACCTTGTTTATGATACTCGTGTACACGTACGATTCATGAAATCATGCTTTAAAAAGTTATTTGATTTTGATTAATGCCGTATTTTTGTACAAATCACAGGTTTGCATTTAATCTTGAATAATATACCTATTCAAACTTGATCGTAATCGTCTGTATTGTTTCAGGAAAAGAGGTGATTCTGTTGCAGTACCTTTTAGGCTATGCTATAGCACAGGATATACTGGCTAATAATTTAATTGTTTAATAATATCTCAGGTATTGCCAAGATCACAAAGGGATAGATATAAACATTATTATTATGTTTCTTACGACAGTCTAGGTTTGTATAAAACTATCCATGTGCCTATAAAAATAACAAATTCAAGCAATGATTTCATTCGCTGTAGGAAGTTAGCATATCTACACAGTAATCTAATATTCTTACATAATAATGAATGTGAAAAGCCTCACCTATCGTCTTCGTTCGTATAAAACTCGTAGTACGCAATCCTGAAGTCGAAGTATCTGATGCCGTGCACCAGCTGCGCCCAGATGGAGCGGTCTTGGCACAGCACGAAGCTGTCTCGAGCGACGGTGCTGATCTCAGTGTTGAACCGCCAGGCGCCGGCGTTGTGGGTTCCAGCTAGTGCCAGCTCGCCGATGCGCAGGCGATTGATTTGGTTCCTGGTGAAGAACAAATATTTAACCTAAGCGCAGACCACCGATTTTTAGTCGGCCGATAGTTGTACCCGATTTTAATTTGCGTGATGAATTGGCCGATACCAAATCGGTGTAATGTGCGCACTTTCATACGTGTCCATACTAATTAACTGGCCGACTAAACTATCGGCCGACGAAAAATCGGTGGTCTACTCCTAGGCTTATAGTTGTTGCAATGAGGGTTTTCGCGTATGAAAGATCCGCTAGATGGTGGGACGTGGATGTGGGGTCTGACTGCTGCGTGATTGGTGGATTCAGTGTTGCCAGTCGGGTCTAGTCAGAAATTACCAGAAATATAAAAAAAAGTAACCTTTTTGAATCAAAAGTAACCTTCATACATGCGGAGCGATGATTGTGTAAGGTTGTTCATGGATGGAAAATGAATACAATTGATCATCTAAATTCGAAAAGTAACCAGTCGTATAAAAACGTTTCATGGATTTGCGTTTTATTATCGAAAAACATTCGCTAAAACTCATTTTTTTTCACAAATAATAAATCAAATTCAAGTTTAAATGCACTTTATGACATAATTTTTAAATTGTCACTATTAATATTTTTAACTGAATAACCTGTAAAGTTAATTCTACAATTTCTGAAAAATCACCTAAAAGTAACCTTTTCATTAGTGTAACCTAAAAGTAACCACAGCAGTTCAAAAGTAACCTAAAAGGTTACAAAAGTAACCTTCTGGCAACACTGGGTGGATTTGACATATCTGTCAATGTCATGTCAAAAATAACCAATCATGCAACATTTGGACCTCGCGTCTACGTATTGCCATCTGGCGGATTTTTCATACGCGAAAACCCTCATTGACGAAGGCGAGTGAGCATTACATGTGTGGTGGCTCGCTACTGTTCGTTTTTCAAAAGTTTTGATAGATATTACACTATCGTTATGTGCATGCACGTATTGCACGTACACACACAAGTATAGCTGAATCGCCTTCGTGAGTTGCAAGAACTGTGTGCTTACCATGAGTTTACGTTAGGTGTGCTCGCTATCGACTGCGTAAAAAAATGCGGCTACTTTTAAGAAATAAAATCTTCATAGATTTTTTTGACGTACCTACTCGCTAGCGAGCACACCTAACGTAAACTCATGGTAATAATAATAATAATAATAATAATAATAATAAAAACGTTTATTGCTTTTTAAACATAAAAGGAATTACAAGAAACAAAATTACATTATAAGCTTAAAATAACTTATGCTAAAAGAAAAAGCAAATGGAGGTGGCTCAGCATGTGCCGCCAAGGACTACCTGCCCTAGACAGCGCTGGTTTTCAGCTACCACCATTTCTCTTAAGGTGTTGGTCGAGAAAATGGTCACGGGGGCTTCGAAAAAAAAATGAGTAAAAAAAATAAATAAACATTTAAACTGACTAAAAAAATAGAAAAAAAAA